CGTCTGCTCTCTGTCTGCACTCACCACGTCAGGTCTGAGTCTGAACACCAGAGGAAGGGAGAAGCGCAGGGCGTGCAGGGTGCTGAGAACTGAGGAGCTCCAGGACTGAAGCACCTCCCGGCTGCGTGGGATCCGACAGATGGAGAACTGGGGAACAAGGGCACATGACGTCACCATTTGCATGTTGAATTTGGGTAAAACTGGCTCATATCACAGAAAATGAGTGTAGGAATATATATTATTCCAATGAATGTACGGCAATACTGAATATTCTTTCTCATCATAGCATTTTCCTAATGGGTATTCAGATATGCATAAAGCAGGTATTCATTTAGTGTGTTCAGTGGATAGTGTGCTGGACTTCGAATCAGAGTTCGAGTCCCACTGCAGTCAGCATGTCGTTGTGTCCCTGGGCAAGACACTTCACCTCAAATTGCTTTTGTGGGGATTGTCCACAGTACTGAATGTATGTAAGTCGCTTTGGATAAAAGCTTCTAACAAGTAACATGTAATGTAATATGTATCCCTGGCTCAAATGATGTCAAAAGTATAAGAAAAGCACAAATAAAGAGCGTACTTCTGCCACCTGCTGGTGAGTACTAACACTCCACAGAGAGTCCCAGAAGATGCTGTATTTGAATCACTTCATAAGCAAAGACTGACATTTGTCCAGGGCTGGGGATGGCCTTAGTTAAGTCAATACTAATTAGGTCATCCAAAAGCTAACTGTCAAAGATGATACATTTGTGCAAATCATTTAGAACTGTTACTAACACTTTGGTTTTCTTCAAAGGGGACAGGATGTTCTAATTTGCTTGATATGTCTGAGCAGATCATATTGGAGGAGACATTTCAGGAGTGAGTCTTGACATAGTTAGGGACATGGACCGAATGTCCTCCTACTGACAGCTGTGTACCTGTGACTCAGAGTCAGAGTTCTGTTTAGAGCTTTCGAAGGAGCAGATTTTCTCCTCACTCATCCTGTCAGTGTCGGCGATAACATAGTGTCGAGGTGTGTATCCTGCAGAGAGGGACTCCATCAGCCGCAGGATCTCTGTGGTGTGACCACCTGGAAAACAAACAACACACACTGTCAACACATCATACACACATGATGGAGAGGAGCAGCATAGGACTTAGTTGGAAAATGTTGGCAAGACCATCCTTAGTATATTTAATAAACTTGTATAATATTATATATCTCCAGATGTAGTATAACAGTGGCAACATACACATAAAACACCCTAATAATTTAGGTCTGTTTATCATGTTTTGATCCAGCTCCATTTGTTCTAATGAAGATGGTTATTAGTATAACACTACAGTTATATTTAATGTGATGTAGTGTGTCTGTTATCAATATTACAACCAGAGTTATATTACATATCAGAAACAATAAGCAAAACCACTCTCAAAGTTGTTTTTGGAATTTTGTGATTTGTTGTGGTTGTTTTTTTAAATAGCTTCTTATAAGTTTAGGGATGGAATGTTTACCTGTTGATCAAGCTTGTTCGTATTAATGGTAAATACTGTCTGTACAAATATTAGTAGGGCAGGAAAATATTTATTTAAAAAAAGTTCCACCCCCATTTTTACTGATAACTTGGCACAGTCCAGTGCAGTAACGCTACGTGTTGTTAGCGCTGATGCTAAGGAAGTAAGTTAACTGTTAACGAACTTTAAAACGTTGTCTACCTGTTCGCCCTTATGCACTAATGAATATCTAAAAGGTTGGCAAGTACAACACATGTCTTTAATCATAACTGAGGTACAAGTTAAGCTTTTGACGGCTACTCTTCTCTGCAGATAGCCTACCTGAGGAACTGTATGTAAGTTAATATCATTATCGTTACCTGACCCTGCTACGACCAGAACAGCGACCGGACCTTTGGCTCCAGGCTTAGAGCTTGATCCAGTCTTTACAATATAATATAAACGGATAATAAATAATAAACACATAAGTCCAACAGCATACACGGCTCCTTCCAGGAACGCCATGACAGCTACGGCAGCTCCGGAGGACCAAAAATGACCAAAACACATGGAATTTGGTTTTTGATCCCTGAGTTCAGAATGTCAGGCACCTCCCTCTCAAGCTGAGTAGATTGTAGGATTGTATCACTGCTAAACGGTTTTACTTATTATATTTGCAAGTGTTGACACTCAACTTGCCATGTTGACAATTAATGTTCCTCCTGGGATTACCTAATAACAAGTAGGCTATTGTTTATGTTTGTAAAACTACACGTGGTCAGTGTTTATCTGCTGCTGGCCTCTCTAGCCCTGATGCACCATCACTGGTAGAACATCTTCAGGAGCCAATAGGACACATTTCAGGATCTGAGTCTCAGTTTAATAATGAAGCATGCAAAGCCTATTACAAATTGGCCTCTTACAACCAAAATGTTTAAAAGGAAATAAAATATGCTTCACCCTTCTTGTTCTATTTAAGGATGAATGCTGGTGTCTACTTTGGTTGCATCTGTACTGCCTGCCATTGACTTGAAGTGTGGAGAGCACACATTGTTCACAAATGGTGCATTAACCCTTCTCTTGCGTTTCGGGTCAACCGAGTGACTTTGTTTTTGATCATAAATATTGTGTTTTTCATCCAATTGCCTCAAGACCTTATCTTATCCTCCACACTCGGCCTCTGAACAATATACAATTGATGATCACCACTTGCATTGATTTTTTAGTGATTTATTCAACAGTGAATTGATCGCCATAGGAAATGAATGGGTATGAGTGTATTATGTTCATCCTGCAGATGGAAAACATCTCCACACACACACACACACACACACACACACACACACACACACACACACACACACACACACACACACACAGTTACGGGAACCTCTCACTTTCTCGCGCTGTATGATGCAATGTCATACCTTCTCACAGGTGCGAGCTCTGTGCCCCTCGAGAAAGAAAAACCTCTCACTTTCTCGCACTAAATGCCCCTCCATTACTATCTCTCATGCAGTTATATTTGTGCCTTGCTCACATTTGACTCATTGACACAATGAGTAGGCGACCGATTCGATTTTCTGTCAGAGAGGCTCTGGACAAATGTTTTGAACCGGATGAAGAGGAGATTGAACCAGACATAGAGGACGATGTCTCAGAAATGGAAGACAACAGCGATCCAGACTATGAGCCTGTCCAACAGTCAACAGACCAGGAAGAGGCCCCTGAGGGAGAGGCCCCTGAGGTAGAGGCCCCTGAGGGAGAGGAGCCCTGAATATTTATTTTTTCTCTAAATGTTAATTGAGGAAAACAGTATCAGTGTCTTATTTTATATTCATCACAGTGAATGCAGTGAATGCTGAACTTGATGGGCCCACCGGTGGGTCCGGACCATATACTGTAGTTGAAAGTACACAATGAAACACTGACTTGCTTGTATCAAATCAATACATCCCATACATCATTGGAACGGGAATAATTTCAGCTACAACACCAACTAAAGCATTTCCATCTCCAGTAAACACAGCCTACATGGCAAGCATTTTTATAATATACAGTAATGTACAGTAAGCACTATCTTTGAACTTACTGCAAAATTATAACATGAAATTCACCCCTGGTGTCATTATGTCTGCCACCCCTTGATTCTACTTGCTTTGACTGTTCAAATGAGATGTCAACTATCAAAATTGGATAAGGGGTTCCAGAGATATCACTGTGCAAAACACACCGGTCAAAATAGTATGGGAAGGGGGGTATGACCTAACGCAAGAGAAGGGTTAAATAGCTCATAAAGTCACCATACACATGTCATTGAGAGCATGTTTTGTGTTTAGTTCAATGTTCAGTAGAAATTATGTTTTTCCTTTAAACTTTCCTTTTGTACAAAGAGGCTATACTGAAATATGCTGAAATGCGGTACTTGGCACACTCCAAGCTCAACTTATTTACTACAGGTAATATTTATCACGAAATTCGACAACGTCATTGCAGCAAGCTCTACTGGCTATGATAAAAATAAACTCCAGACGCGTTATTTTCAGATAAAAGACTGCCGTCTTCGGTTTTTCCCACGGGACATGAACGCAGCATGTGTTCAGACAGCGGAGGCTGAGCAGCATCAGGATGGGCGGCTAGCATCTGTGTGAGTCTCGGCTTTAACGGCAGCATCCTGAGCAGCTTCATGACAGGTGGGTAACACACCATCATCACATCATACAGTGTATGCAGTCTCACTGTGCACGTGCATGGTATATGTGCCTGTTGTCATCAGTGTGTGTGTGTGTGTGTTGTGCGACTGCATGGCAGAACGGCAGCGGTCGTGATGCAACGCTACAGGTGCACGGGGGCTGTCTACACACACAGACACACACGCACACACACACACACACGACCTTGTCCTTCAGATGATCAGTGTGTGTGCAGACAGAAGGTCATCAGGAGAGGCAGCTTGTCCCGGCGGACGATGTCCTCTGATTGGTTATCACCGATCTCATTCAGCAGATGATGGGTTTCATTGATGGACACAGCAGCCCGCCTGTTTTTGACTTGTGCAACATGGCAACCCAAAATGTTTTCCTATTAACGACATGCCTACGTGATCAATAGCATTTTTCAATAAATTATTAACTATAAATGAAGCTGTTCATTTCAACTAATGAACCAGAATTTGGCACCACTAATATATTTATTTAACAAAAAGCACATTTAAGCTCCAGATCATACTAAGTGGACCTTGTGTGGTGCGTCTTTGCCAAATTCTGTTCTAAAGGTAATCAAAATAAAATTTGTGTTGACACTTAAAACTCAATCTGGATTAAGTTTTAAGTGTCAACACAAATCTTATTTTGATTTTCAGTTGACACAATTGACTACAATCGATGCAATCAAATGCTGTTTATACATGGTCATTCTACCTGTAATGATGCATGGGATTTAGCCCCTCTTTTACTTTGCTCTTTCCTCCCTTAGACCCACTGAAATCCTCCTAAGCAGAACACCACAGAAGAAGACAGGGAGGCAGGATGGACTCCTTCTCCATGATGGGCAGCAGCAGGAGCCCTGTGTTCTTCACAGCTCCGTCCTCTCACCACCACCTCCAACACACACAGGCCTGTTTCCTGCCCAACGGCACCAAGAGTGGAGACGCAGAGTCTTCCCGGCCCACGGTGGCCATCCTGGGCTCCGGGGACTTCTCCAAGTGCCTGACCATCCGCCTGCTGCGCTGCGGCTTCCATGTGGTGGTGGGCAGCCGACACCCCAAACTGGCAGCGCAGTCCCTTCCTCACGTGGTGGACGTGACACACCATGAGGACGCTGTGGGGAAGTCCAACATCGTGTTCCTGGCAATCCGTCGTGAGCACTACTCTGTGCTGTGGGACCTCAAACACCTACTGGAAGGTAGATACTTACACATATACACACTTAGAGCACTGTCATAAAAATGCATTACAGCATTAAATCATGCATTCTAATCTTTCGTAGAAATTATCCGGACTGACAAAAGTGGAAAATAATATAAACACATGTTCTTTTTATTGATCATATCAGTCTTACAAAGAGGAACTTCAATGTTGTTGCTAATGTTGTGTAAAACAATAATTCTACGAGAAGTCTGGAGGTCCCTTCTAGATATCCGATACTCCAGGAGGGTGTCTTGCATTATTAAGTTTAACTACAGAAATCCTGTGTGTGTGTCTTGCCGTGCAGGAAAGATCCTGGTGGATGTGAGCAACAACAGGAGGGTGAACCAGTACCCCGAGTCCAACGCTGAGTATCTGGCTTCACTGATGCCAGGCTCCATCACCGTCAAAGGCTTCAACGTCATCTCAGCCTGGGCCATGCAGATGAGCTGCCCCAAAGACGCCAGCACACAGGTAACATAAACACATTCAATTCTTTGAACAAACAACAAACCTAACACAAGGTCCATTTACAAGATGTTTCTGCAGATTTCACTGGGTTTTCACCATCTTGTTCATATGTAACCAAGATGGCTCGGTTATGATTATTGGACAGAACAGCCTGAGTTCATTTCAAGGCCAACAGGCATCTTGATTCAGGATCTGTGTCTTGGGTTATCGAAGGAGACAGAAACCAGCATACTGCATGCAACAGAGACAATGGCAGTTCAATCTGCCTTGCTGGCTATTTGAAGCATTCATTTTGATCGAATTCAGGCACAGATTATAAAAAAGCCCTCACATTCAGAGCAAATTAATTCCTATAGAGGGAACTCACAACAATAGAGCTGCCCGCTTCTGAAATAATCTCCCAGCCAGTCAGCTATCATGGTTAGGATTATAAAATTACAGGGCAGCACTTCAGATGTGCAAGTAAGAAGCTTCTCAATTAAATGCATGAGTTTCATGGAGAACCCTTGCAATCAGATATAATGCAAGAGAAGAGACTATTATTTCAGGATTTAGCAGGGGAGAAGAAATTGGAGTGAATAGATGTGCGAGAGGACAGGTGCAAAGACTAGTGTGTGGATTAAGGGTTATAAATGATAAAATAACTATTCTACACAATCGCAGGTATACACTCATAGTTCATGATACTATTAATCAGTTTGACATTCAATTCTATAGGTGATTATGTCGTCATCTTCCTTCTTGTCTTCACTGTATGTCCAACCTCTAGGTGTACATCTGCAGTGACTCGGTGGAGGCTCGCAAGGCGATCATGGAGTTAGCCCGCCAGCTCCACTTCCTGCCGGTGGATATGGGCTCCCTGTCTTCCTCTCGGGACATTGAGAACATTCCCATACGGTTATTCCCCGGCTGGAAGGGCCCCGTGCTCGCCGCCGTCGCCCTCTCCATCTTCTTTTTCGCCTACTCATTTGTACGAGACATCATCCACCCGTATGTGAAACACAAGCAGAGTGACTTCTACAAGATCCCCATAGAGATGGTGAACCGGACTCTGCCCACTGTGGCCATCACGCTGCTGGCGCTGGTGTACCTGGCGGGCCAGCTGGCCGCCGCCCACCAGCTGTACTACGGCACCAAGTACAGACACTTCCCCCACTGGCTGGAGGGCTGGCTGCAGAGCAGGAAGCAGCTGGGCCTGCTCAGCTTCTTCCTGGCTGCCGTGCACGTGGTCTACAGCCTGTGTCTGCCCATGAGGCGGTCTGAGAGGTACCTGATGCTCAACACCGCCTACCAGCAGGTCAGTGGGGGTGCTCAGAGTGATATGCTCCAGTGAAACAAGAAGATTTGTATCAATGTCTTGTCTTTGCTTTGATTAAAGCGGTCCTATTATGCTTTTGGGGTTTTCCCTTTCCTGTAGTGTGTTATATAGGTTTTTGTGCATGTAAATAGTCTGCAAAGGCTAAAATCCCTGTGTTCCCTCCAAAGAGAGTTTGGAGAGCCATAAACCATAATTAAAAGATGATAATAGTGATTGATTTCATCCCAAGCCTCCTCTGTGTGTGCAGGTCCACGCTAATGTGGAGAACGCGTGGAACGAGGAGGAGGTGTGGAGGGTGGAGATGTACGTTTCCTTCGGGATCATGAGCCTCGGGCTGCTGTCGCTCCTCGCCATCACCTCCATCCCCTCCGTCCACAGCACGCTCAACTGGAGGGAGTTCAGCTTCATACAGGTACAACACGAAACAGGGGTGATGCTTGGAGAAACTTATTGTCAGGCAAATTCTCGGGTCATAAGGGGTCCTTTTCTATGATTTCTAAGCAGTAGAAATCTTCAGTAGAAGAAATGTTTGGGCTAGAATTTCCCTCTGCTTCATTAGTAATGGATATTGCAGAATGTATGCCATGTGGGGTGTTGTACAGTGTAGGGGGGGTCAGCAGGAAGAGTAGTAACAGTGTATGGTGGATTTGAAGTTTGTCACATGGAAATAATCTGAATCAGAATATTTTCATATCTTGGGTTTTGTGGCCGTTGCTAAAAATATAAAGAAAAAAGTATACGAGGTGTGTGTCTGGCTCTCCTCTCTTTGTGAATGAATCCCAGCAGTTGTTGCTGTATATCCCATAATGAGTGTTCCTGTCTTTACTCCAGTCCACGCTGGGCTACATCGCTCTGCTCATCGCGACCCTGCACGGCCTGCTGTTCGGCTGGAAGAAAGCCTTCGAGGAGGACGCCTACCGCTTCTACCTGCCCCCCAGCTTCATGGTGGCCCTGGCCCTGCCCGTGTGTGTGATTCTGGGGAAGGTACTCATGCTGCTCCCCTGCGTCGGCCGCAAGCTGCACCAGATCCGCCGCGGCATGGACAGCAGTCAGAACCGCTGCCAGCGCCTGGAGCCCGTGGGCTCGGCTGCACACGTCTCTCCGGAGAGAGTCACCATCATGTGAGCTCTCCCACATACACTGCCATATCTAACTGTTGTATGTGAACACATTCACATGATCCAAATGGTATTCTTTGTTCCTGTGATCAGTTTTGCCGTCTGTGAATCGTGTTCTTAGTAGCTGTTCATTATAACTGCCCTTGTGGGACTGTTATGTTACAGTTTGTCCATCTAAATGGTAAAATGGAATATCTTGTCAATATTTCTTTAACACTTTGTTCCTGTCCGTGTGTTCTGGCAGACATTACACTGAGGTACATTGTTTACTTTAAAGGAAAATTCAATACATTTTATAAGTTCTGCTCGGCCTGTTAAAACATCAGAATCTTCTAGTCTTCTTTCAAAGTAAAAAAAAACAAAACATGATAATGCAGCATAAGTCTCATTCAGAATCATTCAAATATTACACGATGAGTCCATCAACTGAGTGTGTTTAATCAAGTTTAATGAGCTGCTATGTTCATAACTTTTAATACGTCTTACAGTCAAAAACCTTGACTTATGTTTAAACACTTTTGAGTTTTGTATACAGGAGTTTCAAGGTAACTTTGTTTAAAATCTGAGCTAAATAACTAGTCATGTTTACCCATAATTCCCTTCCTTAAGCACCAAATCAGTCAATGGCAAGCTTCCCAACGGTGACGTGTCATGGTTACACAGGTTTAAGTGTTACTTTACTAGATTGTGTTGCCATAAATAATCATTCCTAAAGGTTAATACAGTTCTGCACTTTAAAAACTATTTCAGAGGTACATGTGTGTCCTTAGGAGTGTCCAGCAGGTGGCTGTGTTACATCACAAATTCAGAGGAAACAAAGTTTTAACAAAGTTTAGAAACACATTTCTAATGAATGAGTTTGAATGTGAGAAAGAGCCAAGAATCAAAATGTAAATTATAAAAATATTTTTAATGAAAACCCGTCACACTTAAATCTCACATTACAAACATAGCAAATAAAACTCAATTCAAAACACATTTGTATCTCAAAGTTTAAGAAAATGGTATAAAACTAAGTCAACCCTTACAGTAACTTCGTGTGGATGTTTGAGTTGTGGAATAAAATGTCAATGATGTAATGTTGTCTGGCTTGTGTTCATGTAAGTGATACTTTAAAACTAAAGTGAGAATAAAATATTTTTACCTGTAGCAGTGTAGAAACTTTATTTCAGAGCACTGTGCACCAGAGTACACTTAATTAAAAGGACATTTAAAGATGACGCACAATAAAGCCCCATAGGGTTAAGAAAATACCGTTACAATGTTTGTATCATGACTCATGAGGAGCCACATATTTACCAGATCTCTGCACAACACACAATACATTTAACTTTACACTGTTAAGCAACTTGAATGCATCTATTCAGGCTGAGTGAGCCATATGAATGAATTTCAAAGCTGTTTTTATTACAATAAGTGCTTTTCTCGTTAGAGTCACATAAGCCGAATTGAAGCATTACATCCTCATGATAGTCTAACAGTGTCATTTTCGTAAGGCACATTGTATTTTCGTAGATAAACAGGAAGGCACTAAATGGTGTGCTTTTTTAAACTAGATTCGGCATTAAGATAAGAATCTGAAACTGATTCGTGGCAGTCCACGTTCTAAAATGTTCCTAAAAACATGTCCGTGCACCTGTGCATAAAACCGTCTCATGTCTGGGAGCTGATCTGCTCCAGCTGAGGCACCAGCTCCTGAGCAGTCGGTCTGCAGCGACCGTCCCCGCTCCAGCAGCGGCCCAGCAGAGTCCTGCACTGCCGGCCCAGCTCCGACTGGAAGACCGGGTGCTCCTGGACCGACGGCCGCAGATTGTGGGCCACCACCGCGTAGAGCACGTGCTGCCGGTCCCCGGTGTAGGGCTGCTCTCTGGTGATAAGCTGCCACAGAGTGATCCCGAAGGAGAAGATGTCTGCTTTAGGAGACAGCCCCTCTCCTTTCAGCAGCTCCGGGGCTCTGTGCGTGTACGTGCCGCCGACGTGGCTCAGATGCGGGCTGAGACAGCTCACCTCGCACCTGTGGTCCAGTTTCAGAGAAGAACCGAAATCTACTATTTTGCACACGTCCTCCCCGGACACCAACACGTTGGCTGGCTTAATGTCCAGGTGCAGCACGCTGTGTGAGTGCAAGAAGCGCAGACCGCGTGCAATATCTGTAGCATACCTGAGGCACCTGTCCTCCAGAGGGTCACACCCACCGTAGATGATCTGCTGCAGGTTTCTGTCCCCCACAAACTCCATGAGCACCGCTCCGATGCTGCTATCGTCTCCGAAATCCGCTGGCATGCAGGTGGTGGCCGCGATGACGCGCACGACGTTCCGGTGGCGCAGGTGCGCCGCGTTCAGCTCGGCCCAGAAGCTCTGCCGGGACGCCAGCTTGTTTTTAGTGCACTTCTTGACTTTCTTCAGCGCTACAGTCTCTCCGAAGTAATCCGCCTTGTAGACGGATCCGAACCCTCCGGATCCCGCAGGCTGCACGGAGCGCAGTTCCTTCCAGTGGATCACCGTGGACCAGAGCCGGCTGGCGACCTTTCCGTGGAGCCGCTGGACGGGAACCTGTAAGGTGGATCCGGGGTTTCTGGTCAGCGGGCTGCTGCAGGTCTCCAGGTCCAGGAAGGGGTAGAAATCTTTGGGGAGCAGGCGGGTGACGGGGATCGGGGAAGGCATGGTGGGTGGGTGTGTGCAGTCTGTTGCTGACTGATCAGCTGGCGCTTCTTCTTTTTGAGTTTTTATGGCCGGTAGCAGCCAGCGTTAAAGGTGCATTACCGCCCCCTACTGTATTGGAGTGTGGACCAGAATTATCTAACCAAAAAAAAAAGAAATTAAGTTAAATGTTCTTTATTTTTTCTGTTTGTCTATAATTTGTGGTTGCTTTGTACGTATACCCCACTACAATACAGAGGTACATGGTGTACTACACTACACTACATTTATTGAATACCTTATTACAGATTTTGATTAAGGATGTGAAATATAATCAAGTGTTAAATCAGACTTTAGTTCCACCTGGAGTAAATTCACAAGCTACCCTGCAGTATACAAAGTCATTAAAACTAGCTGCACCTTTACCAGATTTGATAACACTTTTAATGATCAATCATTATAAAACATATCATATATATTATTCTGAAATGGACCAATCTGCACAATGACTACTTTTACTTTCGGGACTTTAAGTATATTGATGTTAATACTTTTTTACTTGAGTAACAGTTTGATTGCAGGACGTTTACTTGTAACAGAGTATTCCTACACTCTGGTACTTCTACTTTTACTACAAGTACAAGATGTGAGTACTTTTCCCCCCTCTGGTTAATACATGGTCCTCTGACCCTGCTGACATGCTGACTCCTGCAGTCCCAATTGTGTTGCCACTCCTTAAAAACATTCCTTTTTACTATTTATTTTGCTTCAGATTTGTGCACTTTCTGCTCTGCTCTCTCCCAGCAGAAGCCCCTCCATGCGGCCACAGCGCCCCCTGGGGTCCAGGAGTGTGAGGTACTTTCTGTTTGGGTTCAACGGGTTCATCCCGATGGTTCAACTCAGTTTACTCTGTGCAGCGGAGGAGGGCGGGGTACATCACAAACGTTCTGCATTCAGTGGTAGTAAAACACGATAATATGTATGTGTGTTTCAGAAAAAAAGTTACTACTCGGTGCGCGCGAGCCGCGGCCTGCTTAATTAGCCGCGAGACAGCTTTGTGCAGAGTCCAGTTTCAGAAGTGCACACTGACACATTTGAGCTGAGGCTGGGGGGAGGGAGCTGCAGAACATGTTACACAGCTCACAGCCTGTGTTTGTCCTTTTCACTCTTTTCACCGAGACTTTTCCAGCATGCAGGAATACATGATCACAGAGTGAACACTACTGCAGTGTAACATGCAGCTGATAACACAGGAGAGCAACAGGGAGCTGTCAGTTTGTTCATGTAAACTCTACAACTTATTTGTGCTAACCTCCTTGGCTGATCCACAAAAATAGGTTTCAAGCAAACAGAGTCATGATAAAGTGAGAGAAGGATAAATGTCAAGGAACACAGCAGGAATAGGAATTAGATAGCCTTCAGCGTGAAGTATACAGAGTAATGGGGTTGTTTAATATAACCACATGATTTTATCAACCAATTACATCAGTTTTTGGGACCAACAGCTTTCATTTGTAACTGATACATCCACTCCACTTCCACTGCAGTGTGCATAATCCTGAAACATTCAATACATCTCATATGTTTGAAAGTCTCTTCCACTGAAGAACAACATGGTAGCACAAACTGTCCTCAGAAGCAGTATGCTCAAAAAACATAGAATTCATGTTGTTTTTATTGTTTATTTCTTGACAGATCATACTTATTTAGGCTTCAGACAAGATGAAGTTGTGTATTCAAAGTGTCAGATTTGTCGAGATAAGTTCGGCAGTTTCTAGGTAGGGTTGTAGTATCATGACTTTAGGAAGTAATTGTTGGCTTGTTGCCATGCAGATGCAGCCAGTAGCTCTCTAAACTACCCAACAACATATGACTATATATTAGCTGGCTTGCTATATCTTGTGTTGTTGCACTTGTATCTTGTTTTCAGATTAGCTCTCTTATCTCCACTATCTTCTTGTATTTCCTCCTTTCTTCTTATTTAATGCTTGTCGTGATTTTAGGGTGTCTATTATCATCTGGACGGGGACAACAGCTGGAAATTAACCATGTTGGCTAAAGTCCCATTTACTGTTTTTGTAACAATTAATGGGGACTGTCCACGAAACTAAATTTAAAGAGATTTCATGTGGGCAGGACAACAAAGCCTAAAAGTAACCCCAGACTTACACAGAAGCAGACAAAACCACAAACAACGAGACGTAATAATAACCAAACAGACGCTCGGTTGTATCCTTCTCGTATGTTTATTGAACTTTCATTACATTGTGTAAAAACACTGGAGTTGACGACTGCAGCTCTTCTCTCTCATAGCAGCAAAGGTATGTAAATCAAATCAGGTTTATTCTGCCAGACAATAAATAATCTGCCTCTTTGGATGATGTCAAGGTTTAAAAAAACAACAGATAAAAGCTGCAGCATTCATTTTACACAACCTGTAAACATATACATATATATTCACTTATATATATACATATGTTTGTGTGAATTACTTTGCCCTATATTTATAAAAATACAACAGTAGTTTGTAAAATAGATTTGAAGTAAAATATTGAGAATTAGCAACGAGTCCATCATTGTCACAGGATGACATCGTTTCTGAACGTCCTCAGCTCTTTCTGAACGGCGGAGCTTCTCACCGTCATTTTCTTTTTCTGCCGAGTCACTCAGAGCCATCCCCCGCCATGACTCAGTTTCCCAATATCACAACACAACACAGGTGGGCAGGGGGGGGGGGGGGGGGGGGGGGGGGGGGGTGAGGGATGCATGTGATATTACAGGCAAGTCTGTAAAAAGACTACAAAAGTCACAGTACAATAAAAATATATGTCGCTATATAGTACAACCGGGCACACACGCCAACTGTTCAGCTAAACTGGATACTTTGTACAAACGATACACTTAAGAACTAGAAAAGAGGTCTGTAGCACCTTAAGGAGCTTTAGAAGTATGTTAGCAGCTTGATCCAATACCAAAAATATATTGCAGTATTGCAGTGTTTCTTACACATTCAATAAAGTTCACTGGTACCACTGAAGCTTATAAAGAAGTCTGACATGCTGAAGGTCTGTGCCTCTCACTGAAGAATCTCCTGGTCGACTTTGCCTATTCCTTTTTACCCCGGGGATTTAAAGTTAGCTTGAGAATTAGGAACTGATGTAGGACGCCAAATCTGGATCTACTTTCTCCAATGTGTAGGGATCTTCTATCTTTGATCCAAAGTTCATTGCTGTTACTTTCACAAAATCTAATCTCTTGAATCTGCCATGTGAGTAAAACACTAGCTGAGTGGATAATACATTTCAGGCAGAAATCACAAGGAAATATTCAAAATAAATGATAATATACTAAGTTGTTTTTTTCACAATGTCACACTGAGGTCAAAGGGTGACATAGTTATTTGACATACATTAAATGTATTTTTTAACATCTGATTAAACAGCCAATGAAAGGATAATACAATTAAGTGCTATATAAATGTCCGTTAAGCTTCATTATTACTTGTGTTCTTCCCTACACCAGCGATAGAAAAGGCACATTGTTTGTTAAAGACCCCCCAATGAGATACACAGAACACTTGTGCAAGTAAAGCAAAAATGACACTTTGATAGGAAAAAACACTGTCAAAATTGTACCTGTAAAAATAAAACATTTTATATTGTATTTACATGTTATTGTTCTCTAAAAGAGCTAAATATATCATCTATACATTTGTAATAAAGGTTTTAAACAAAAAAAAAAACGGTATTGGAGGAAATAAAGGCATTCAATTTACAAAAAGTGCTATGATTACAAACAAAAAAACAGGCTTGCTAACATCTTTTGTAAATCCACAAACCTTCACAAGATACAAATAGCAGACTTCCATAAATGCTTTGAAACATTCAACTTTCACATAGTGTCCATTCATGTCTCACTCAGGAAAGGAACCGGGGGAACTTAACACTTCTAGTTCATCATCATCATCATCATCATCATTTCTTTTGACTTTCAGAGCACAGAAACAACATGAGTATGTGAGGTAAATGATAACACTATTGGGTTATAAAAACATTTCATGGAGCTAAAATGCACTGCTGTGGTAGGGGGGGGGGGGGGGGGGGGGGAGTGAAGGTGTGGGGTGTAAAGTTCACATTTTTTGCCGTATGGTGTGCAGTCAGATATCTCTTGAAAAGTTGAAAAAGGACATCTTTGTTTCATGAAATGATATCAATCTGCTAAAGTATTTTCATCCTTCAGTTGCATTGTAGGTAATGATTGGCATTTCAAAAGAGTTTTGATACGGATACCAAAACATACATCTTACAAAATCTCATTTGTAATCTACAAAATAAGTTCTCATTTCAGGAACTATTGGGTCATAAGAAGTGAACACAGTAATGGATCTAAACACGTCTTTTTCTCAGCTTTTAGCACAGTGCTAAACACATTTCAGTCGACACCCAGCCCTGTTATATTGCTGCTTAACGATTGCTAGCACCGCGCGTTAATTGTATGAAAATGCTCGAAAACACCGAATATAACTGAAAACGGAGCCATTGTTTTTTACCTCAGTATCCCCAGCAAACCTTGGTAAAGTTGTAAAAATGTGTTTTTAAAGAGGACATATTGTGCTCATCAACCAGAGCCCAGTGTGCTCTGATTGGTTAGCTGGCCGGCTCTGTGGACTTAGCGGGATTTGAGCCTTAGCAGACCATTTACAGGCACACAAACCTATACACACACTACAGGAAAGGGAAAACCCCCAAAAGCAGAATAGGCCTGTTTAAAAAATAAAATATAACTTGTATTCTAGCAGCATGTTTCAATCTTTAAAAGTATTTCTGTGATCTCACAGATTTGACTGTTAGCCCACAATGAAAACATGTTGCCCAGGGTAACACAAATATGCCTTAAAACAAATGTTTTCCATCGGAAATGTGATTGAATCACACAGGGGTACTGAGGTCACAAATGATGCTAACCCAAACTAGCACTAACTATGATTATGTTAGCATTCGTTAGCATCTCTTCAACCTCCTTTTTCCACTTATTGGGTCCAATTATCGTCCCAAGTTTTCTGCATTTGCTTGTTCTAACACATCATTGAAGGTGTATTATGTTCAAACAGTTCAATATTTAAACCTAAGACACACAAGTTCTGCATTTCATATAATGACACTTCTTAGAAGTTTGATAGGAGTGTGACGTATTGATAAAAACACTTATGACCTTTGAGAAGTAAGGCACATCGAGGGTTACATAAACGGTGAATAGAGATGTGTGTGTGTGTGTGTGTGTGTGTGTGTGTGTATTGCTCTCTGTGTGGAAACAGGTGCTTGTTAACCAAATAACTCTACTATGTCAGCTTTGAGAATGTCGAGAATTAAGATAAAACTTGAGCAGAAAATCAACCAACTATACTAAAATGAAATGTCAAAGTGTAATACTGTTGCTCAGTAGTTCCTTCTCAGTACCTTGTCCATCATAATGTGAATTCACTTTAGCTAAATGGAATGATCAAAAGACCAGATGTATGTTTTTGAAGGTTTAAGCCTATTTACTACTAATTACTTGACTTTCTGATAATAAATGTAAGCTATTTTAAGTACGTTTTCCCAAATTCCAGGAAGGCATTGGTGTCTAGAATTTCACTACATATTTGAAATATATGTAATCCAGCATAGTGAGCATTATGTCGAACTTTACTGTACTGCGTAACACAAGCGCACAGTGAAGTTATCGACAAGATACGAGCATATGATCACTGTAATTGATCAACTCAAGTCATTCTATACAGATTAGACATTTATGAAATTCAAACACTGCCTTGTCAGTGTCATTTTTGATGTAATGAATAGATGTAAATTGGCAAAAAACATCCAAAACCTACAGTCTGGTGAAAGGTCAACTGTGATGACAGACGAACATCCCAAAGTGCTGCAGAACAACAATATACCCCATAATCTGTTCACTAAAACCGATCTATTCTAGGAGGTAAAGAAAATGTCACTGCAATGAAATCACTAATAGCAACCATCTATGTGAAAACTCCCAAAAGACTGATAAGCTCTCACCATGTTCACATTGTTGTGGAAAAGCAGGTTATTGTGTGTGTGGCGAGTTGTAACTGCACCAAAGGCCTTTGAATAGGTTAGATATCATAGAAATCAGAAGTTATTCAAGTTGTGAAAAGTAAGAAACAGAAGATTTGGATACTGGTTTGTAATATTTTCCTGCTATTATGTGAACATGTCATCATGGAGTAGTGGTGGTGAGGATTTGCGAATTCTTCAATAAAAGGCTTAATAGGTGGAATCTCAGCAGCAGCATTTAGAAAGCTGATTAAGGCAAACTGTGTGTGTGTGTGTGTGATTGTGTGTGTGTGTTACTGTAAGAGCTTATCATGATATATCTGCTTTGTACGTCTTTCGTATTAAGTGCTTCATCTTCAGACATGTTTAACTAGCATATTTTTTCTGAATAGCAGGGGGTGTAACTCAACGTGTGAGTGTGTGTGAGTGTGTGTTAGAGTGTGTGTGTGTGCCAGGCAGCAGTACATACTGGATCACTGGAAGGCCTGGTGGAAGCGGGGCAGTGTGGTGGGTGAGCTCAGGTTGGATATGAAGGAGGAGGGGAGCCTCTGCAGCGGACTCTCTGCAACCTCGGGGTCTTCAGGAGCCTGGGGGGGCATCTGGACCAGGGAGGGGGGCTCTTCGTTGGGAGGATAGGTGACGCCCACCCCCCCGCTGCCCCCCGCCTGGTTGTACGGCGGCCCGTTGAGTGGCAGGAAGTTGAAAAGCTGTGAGAAGTCCATCAGAGAGGAGGACGAGGCCAGAGAGTCTGCGCCGGCTGCTGCCATCTGGGAGGACATTTTGGACAGGGACCCCCCCTCGCCCGCTTCCTCCAGCGCGCCCACTTGAGGCTCCAACTCGAGTTTGGAGGAGGAGAGTTGGGGTTCTTGGGCTGCAGAGGATGAGGAAGGCATGCTGCTCTGCAACTCCATCAGGTAGGTCTCCAGTTCTCCCTTTAGATTCTGTTCCCGCTCCTGTGAGGAGACGCTGTATGAGGTAAAGTTGGAGCCCAGTGGGTACTTAAAAGAAAAAGGCAGCGTGGGGTTGGGGAAGGGCTCCGTGTCCAGGACGGGGCCCGTGTACATGAGCTGGTGCGGCCTCGGTGTCAGCATCCCCGGCAGCTCGCCCTTGATGCCCCCAGACGCCAAGTCAAAGACGACGGGCTCCAGCGAATCAGCCGGCTCAGTTTTCACCCTCAGCAGCTCCCGGGCGTGGCTCTTCTTCACGTGTCGCGTCAGGTGGTCCTTCCTCCCGAAGCGCTGGGCACAGTACTGACACAGGAAGTCCTTGCGTCCGGTGTGCACCACCATGTGGCGTCGCACGTCTTTCCGGGTGTAGAAGCGCCGCTCACAGTGCTCGCAGCGGTGCTTCTTCTCTTTGGTCCCACCAGAGGACTTGCCGGCGTGCGTCTTGAGGTGCTCCAGGAGGACCACGGTGCTGGGGAAGGGCTGCAGGCACACCTGGCAGGTGAGGTCTCCACTGTTAGCAGCATGGAGGGCCAGGTGCCGCTTGAAGCCCAGCTTGGTGTTGTAGCTCTTGCCGCACTCCTGGCAGCCGAACGCCTCCTTGTAGGGGTCGTGAGTGTGTAGGTGATTCTTTAAGTGATCCTTGCGGTGGAACATTTTCTCACAGTATGAACACTTGTGGTTTTTTTCTGGCGAGTGAGTTGCCATATGCCTTGGAACACAGACACATTCTATGAGCACTCAGAATCAAGAAGGCATGCTTTACATTACACACAAACACAGACACTAATATGCAAGAACAGATCATTGTGAACACTACTGAGCGTTATGTTAGCAAAGGTGTAAAGAGAAAAGAACATGCTGCTATGTGCTGTCTGTACCGTAGCAGCTTGTATTTGGAGACGAAAGCCTTGGTGCAGTCGGGGTGGGAGCAGCGGTAGGGTCTCTCTCCGGTGTGAGAGTACGAGTGCACCTTCAACTTCTCCAGGCTGTTGAAAGCTTTCTGACACTCCTGGCAAAGGAAATTCTTTTTGGGCTTGCCCTCTGCTCTCCGGCGCCTCCCTGTGGGCGGCGTGAGCTTGGTTCTCTCCAGGACGTGGTCACGGTGGCCCTGGGTTCCCGTGGCCATGGCACTCTAAGGCTGACCGGCTACATGGACAGGGGCGCAGAGCCCGGCTACTTCTGATGTGATTACTCTCTCCAGTTTTATGTGCTCAACACCGCCCGGACTCAGGGGCCTGAGAAAGAGAGAAAGAGAGAGAGAGAGAGAGAAGATGGTGAATGGTTTGGTTTCAGGTTGCTGACGGTACAACAGACATTAAAACCTAAGTCATAAATCAACTGATGTGAGGAATGACAAAACAAGTTGAACTGGATGCCTTTGGATTACATGACTTATAGATCTTAGATAACTGTTTGCATTCAAATGGGTAACAACTGGCTCAGTTGACTCTGGGTTTTACAATCACAATGGTTTAACTCAAAGGCTATCTGAACTACAAGCAATAGAATATATGAGCTCAAAAGATACATGAGGGGAAAATAAATGTAAGCACAAGCAAAAGGTGATCTTCAGCAAAGTTAACTATATGCAATGTAAGCACACAAATTAAGTTAAATGCTGTAGAAAACTCTAGAAATAACAACCAATGTAAAGTAGTTGGCTATAAAATATGTGTGTGTGTGTGTGTCTAGCATAAACTGAAAATGGCACTTTTAATGATTAGTTTTTTTTAGAACGACAGTCGAGTTATATGTTTTTATCGAAGACACAGCCGAACTCTGATGCCTCAAACTATGAATTCTCCTTTTTTTGTCATTAGGAGGATATAGGATTTAAGTCAGCTGGAAAAACATCCACCAAAAGCACTAACTACTGCTGCCACAGGGGGATTATTTTAAAAATGGCTGCCTGAGATGCAAAATGTGTAATGCTTCTATACCTTTAACCACTTCCACATGACTTCCTTATACATAATACCTTTTGATTCTCCTACACCTTGACTTTGGCAGTTTACCAGCTACCATTACTTACAAATATTAAAAAGGATATTAGATTATATAAGAGGACAAATACATTCTAATGAGTTAACTTATAATAGAAAATTATGTTTTTCAAACTGTCTTTTGTTGTTGTATCCCTTGCCTTAGATCACATGTGTCAAACTCAAGGCCCGGGGGCCAAATCAGGCCCGTGGTGGATTTAATTTCGGCCCGCAGGATAATTTCTAATTACTATTAGATCTGGCCCGCCGGTATATTGCACGCACACCTTCACTCAACCCTGAGGGTTTCCTCCGCTCAGAGCCTGACCCCAAACATTGATGAACTTGCACCCAAGATGAGATGCCAAGTATCTGAACTAGCATCACAGAGCAGCACACTGAGTTTCAATGGATGTTTCCTTCTGCACTTTTTCTCTCATGACAACAGGGCATGTTTGTTTTTTTCTTTGAGGGAAATAGTTTTTTTGAAGCTGTTGTTGGCCTGTGGAGAAATGTAATCATAAGAAATGACTCCGGAAAATCTGCAGATAGATCCATAAGAAATGAATGCAACTGATTATTTAATGTTTAATGTTGTTTTTATAGGCAATCATTTAAGCTGTGTTAGTTCCAGGTTTAATATGTGCAATAAGTTCATTTCAATAAGTTCTGCAATAACTAGTACCGATTTTTTTATTTTGGCCCACTGTGTATTTGAGTTTGACACCCCTGCCTTAGATACACACAAATACAGATGAATAGATCTGATCTGTCATCACACATTGTATTTTACAATTGAAAACTTACAAAATACACAGAGATTTATCAGTCTGCACATGTTTATATGATATAATCTTATTATGGAAAGAATACTCATATCTACTAGTACAAAGTTGATACTACATTATCCATGTAGCACACTGCTTCATTGTTACTGCACAAAGGGCTGACATTTCTTTATGAATGAAATTAGAATTGTTGTGTAGCTTTTGTTAGAAGAATAAATCCTGGAGCCTTTCACTCTTGAAACAGAGATTTATTACAAGCCCTTGTCTCTGAATTGATTCATACTTTTCTACCAGATATTATCTAAATTACTGCAAATATCTGGATTGATAACAGCCGTCTGTCCTGCAGTAATAAAGACTTATTAGTGTTTTAAATGTAAAATAAGATTCACTATGCATTCAATTGTTTTTTATTTTAACAATTTTAAGTAACATAATGATATTAATAATTATTATTCTTATGTGTCTTTATTTATAGCAATTAGCAACTTGTCATAACCGTACCAACTAAATATAAGTATTCATCAATATAGAAACAAATCTTAAATATCTTGCATATTCTTATACATTTTTTAATTAAAAGTGTACAGTACTAAAAGTAATAACAAAATGCCCTGTGTTTGATAAGACCATGGTTTGGGGAAAGTTGTCATATTTACTGAAACACACGTTAACAAACATTTGTTTCGGGGCTAAGATAAGTTGCTAAGCACATCAAAAATGTCTGTTTTATTAAGGCTGCAATATTGATCTCATTACTAACAATTACCTTTCTTCAGAAAAGCTACAGAAACAACCCAGGCATAAGGAGGATGTTTTTACTTGTACTAAATCAATTATCTTGCCTTCAAAAAAACTAAAGCAACTCATTTTAAAGGGTCATTATCAAATCAATTCAAACATTTATAAACAGAATGATGCAAATCCAAATTCATTTCCCACATCTTGTCAAAGAATGTTACATATTTGAGAAACTCAGAAGGCTCACCAAGCCTTTATAGCATAACTATAAGCTAAGCTAAGCTAGACAAATGTATGAATGCTCCCAAGATCTTAATTATTTCTCCTAATATCTTATATAGAACATTTGTTTTAGGCATCGACTAATTATAGTAATTTATAATGGCTAATAGCAAACTTCTGCATCAAAGAAATAATCATTTTCTCTCATGCTACTAGTTCTGCCTTACATTAGCATCATTAATGACTACATGCAATCAGATTGATATCAGTAACAACGCAAACGTCAAAATCATGCCATGGTAAATACAGAACAATTACACATTAATCCATATCAGCACTTTAAGACAGGTGTAAACAGAGACTTGAGCCAACACTGACAACACACTTCCTCTCAGTGACTGTTTCAATATCACTTTTACAAGCAGCCACACCAATGCTCTGGCGGGCTACACCTCGATAACACCATGGGAGATGCTTCTGATGCCTAGTAGCTTGAGTGTAACGCTTATAACACCGATATCCTGCACCACATCTCCTACATAGCCATTTCTAATGTGCACAGTGCAACCTGCCACACCGCCAAAGTGAACACACGTCCTTTAAAGAGCAACAAGTCGGGGCATCGCATAATTACTCTGCCTTGACTTCTCCCTCCATTTTGCTGCTTTATTGACAAGCAATTGCCGTGTGTTGTTTACGAGGGTTGCAGCGGGTAGTAGCCGACCTGTCATGTGTGTGTCTGACACCGGGATCGATACTTGCAACGGGTTAAAAAAGCCATAAAGCTAAAAGGAGAAGCATGACAAAATGTCACTGTAGCCGCTACATGGTGGCATTACGGTTTCAGAAAAGAGATGCTGGAATCGATAAGTGTAAGTTGGCACAGCTTGTGATACAGTGTGAAAATGAGGTGAATATCAATGTACATGCAGATAAAAGTGATAATGACGTTATTGCCGAAGTAAAGTGCGCCTGTTCCTGTACGTGTTTACCGGACTAGCGTTGTTATTATATTTTTTTTAAATAAACTAAGTTAGGAGGCAACTTTGCTCAACTTTCCTACGCTACTGGTTCCGGTGGTCTTTAATGTTCGCGGACACGCACCGTGACACTAATACGACCAGTGACATAATTTATTTTAATAAATATCAAAGCGTGTGCCGTCCCCTGCTTTTCTCTGCGGTCCTAAACTGGGTACTGATTAACACAAACTTTTTCCCCAGCTCACCCCTCTCTCATAATTTAAATAACCCCGATATTTTAATTCAAGAACAGGGTAACCGCTCACTTAATTCACATCAAACTTACCCCGGTCGCTTTAACATTCTTTCTGTTGGGTTTTTCTTCACTTTCAACTATTTTCCGAATTTTTAATAATTTTTTTCTCATATTTTTTGCTAGACGCGGCGGGCCTGAAAATTGTTTGCTTTCCCCACTTTCGAGCAGCCATTGTGTATGCGCTGCGATTCAACCCAACTATGACTTAGCCACGCCCACCTGAAATCCCGCCCACTCGCCACTCTTTTGATTTGTGTAAGCCGCTGCCACTTTCTCCTCAGTGTCAGCTACAGTCCATTTCAGTAAAACTCATTTTTGGACTTGCTCGATGCACTGTCAATCGCTTAAATGTGGTTTAGTAGAATTTACAAGGATAGGAAGACTAACATGGCTGCCAAGATATCCCATTGGCTCACAGGGTTGTCTGTCATTCTGTTAGTTTTCCGGTGCTCCTATTGGCTGATATCGCTGTCAGTTGTCTCTGACGGTGCGGGTGATTTTCCTGGTGCGCTGTTGCAACAAATAGAGAAGAGTTATCTTGAGCATGAAGGGGAGGTATCAGCCTATGGGTTGTGTTGCTTTACTTTAGCCACATGTATGCTAATGTATAGCTGCTCACTAGCTCTTTAAAGCAACATTCTTGTTAGCATTTCAAGGGGATATACATCATAACATAACATTTGAATAGCTAGCATTAGCAGTTATTTTGGTCCTTTCACACACGGGATACTCTTCACTGGTGTGGATATTACGCTTATCCACAATTCATTAGACTACTGCAGGATACAAGTTGTTATCATTAAAAGGTATGTATTAACTTTGTATAGCTTTTCCCATTTACCTCATTCCATCTTAATGCACAGTCGCTATAAAGTTTGAATGGAAGCTGTTTGGTAACATCAATGAAGGTCAACATGCTACTATGTAGCAACGCTACATGGTGTAGTGGAGGACACCAATCTCCATTGAATAATTTGGGAAGTCTAGTAAAACGTGTTATTTGTTAAATGTACACCACCTGTCGACACGATTGAAGACATTTCCTGCAAGAGGAAGAAGCCAATTTCAATTCGGCATATATGTTACACGCCAAGCTGACATATTTGTAATATTACTAGTCCTATAAAACATGGTTTAGTTTCTGTTTACCTTTGCACCACTTACACCTTATGTGGTTAGTGATAGCAACATTTGTACACCTAAAGGGAACAATTTTTTGTAACACATGGTTATGTGGTTTTGTGGAGTTTAACTTCTGATAGACATTATGAATATGATGTATCATAACTGTATTTTTGATCCTTTGGGGGCCATTTGGGACCCTTTCTCAAGATACAGACATTTAGATTGTCCAACAACAATATTACAGTTGTTTCAAAGATTTGCAAGTTTTAGTCTGCTGACTTTATTTAAATATTCAAAGTATTACTCTGCTGTATGTTTTACATTCATCCCAGTAACATGTGATTCATTAATAGTAATACATGCACCCATACAATAGTTAAACAACGACACTGTGCATAAACTGAACCTCATTTTCCATCTTTGCAGATCCCAATGGATAAAAACATACGAAAGCTTCGGAATCAGGACAATAACCCATGCATAGACGTACGTTTACCTACCCTTTACATCTTGCTTTGTGTCGAACATCGGCCTGCTGCAAGGTAACTGTGTTTATAATTTTCTAATCCTGAAACTTGTTTCTCTTTTTCAGGAAAGTGATGCGTCCCAGCAGTGTTTGAATGTCAACAGCTATGACAAGAGCATGTGTACAAACTATTTCCTGAGATATAAGAGCTGTAGGAAATACTGGGTGAGTGCATGTTTCCAGGATCAAGGAGAACACACTGGCTTTCTCATGTTTACCTGTGCATGGCTGGGAAGTCAGCAGTCATTGATGCTGCAGTAGTGACACCTACTGGTGGGTCAGGGTGTCTGCACAGTGAGAGGCATAGGGGAGGTTTGTCCTCAGTTGGGTCTGCAATACAGAGAGAAATGGGCCGGAATCAGAGTAAAGTCTATTAAAGTTAAGATACAGTTGATAAAAAGGGGAGTCGTAAGCATCAGCTTTCCTATATTTGCGGAAAGGATTACGAGGAAAAAAACAATAAACGTAAATTGTTGGAAGATGCACAAGACAGATTTAAAACAAACTTCTTTAAGACATGCACCGTATTATGTTAATGTGATCATTATTTCACATGTATGTCTAAATGAGAACAAAGGTCACCAGTGATCTTGTGAGATCTTTAACAATTGTAACGCTTAAAAGAAGTTAGTATAATTTAGTTTACGTTTTTGTCTTCAAATTCCCCAGAAAATGTATTCATTGATTTTATTTAAAACAAGGTTGCACAATAACACAAACCAACTTACTGATCAATGCAGGGATAGTTCACTGATCTGCAATTTAAAATGTATTTTTTCTCAATGGTGGCTTTGAAGAGAACACATATTCCAGTTCCTCTAACTAATCATTTTTACCTGTGTAATATATATAAAGTATTTTTAATTTGTGTCTGTTTCCTTGTAGCAAAACATAATGGTGCAGCGGAGAAGAGAAGGAGTGAAACCGGACATGCCGACGGCTGCAGAGAGGCAGGAGATGATCGCTGCTATCGGAGGGAAACCTTACTGATTTCAGCAGAAACTCCCAGACACTGTGAAGGCCAGCGGGGCCCGGACATTTACTACAAGCTGTGCTGCTGCACTGGCTGGGTTCACACTGACCCAAAGCCTGACCCATCCTAAGCTCAGGGCGTGTGGAAGTGCCCGGTTACTGGTCTGTTGTGGAATAAAAGGGAAAAGGAGAGATTTCACAGAAAGATATCAGATGTATTATTTATTGAGGAATAAAAACAATGGGACATGAACTGAAACATCATTCAATTAGCTTTATAAGCTGTTATGTCCCATGTAATGGTATTACAGAAGTTGCACTGTAGTCACAACTGTTGAGATGAATATTTAATCTTATCTTGCCTATGAGAACTGTATATTCTACAGTTCTCATATGTAAAAGTAGGTCTACTTTTTTTTACAATTTGCCAGTGTCAAGGACTACTTCGTCTTTGAAATCTAAAGCATTGTGGGTACTAGCTCAGCTGTGGATTCTACCTGGCCAACATGTTGAAGTCTGCAGCATGTGTGATGGACATCTACCATGTGTCTTTCCTAAATAAAAAAGGAGTATTGTAGCATTGTCAACTCCGAGTCCCTCCCGGATGACTGAACTTTTCACCTTATCCCTAAGGGAGATGCCAGCCACCCTGCGGAGAAAACCCATCTCGGCCGATCGTGGATACAAGCGGCCCGAGTCAATCTCCTTTCGCATGTCATACTAGTTATTTTTTTGCATAAAAATCATGCATGTATTCTGTCCTGTATCATTCCCTGCTATTCTTTGCCTTTTCCTGTTCTCCCAAAAAACTAAGATAGTCGGTCATGAAAAACAACAATTAGCTTTCTGGTTGATACTGTAATTTCTTACAGAGCAATTCTTATTTTTTTGTTGCTGTCGAATGACGTAGGCTGACACGTGTTTTTAAGTAGTTCTGAAAAGGTGAAATAAATACTTTACATTAAGTTATTTTTGTGTTGTGTAAATAATGATGTAATGCTTTGGAAAGGCAAAGAATAATATAAATATATGTACATTTCACCTTTATTTTTTATTTTACAATTGCAGGGAAACATGATCAGTACATGCATAATTAATGATTATGCAAAAATACAAATGTCAACAATGATGAACACTAATATTAAGAACAATACAAATGTATTATTGGTCTTATTGTAATTAGCTTTTACAAACCTATTGTAATCAATCGAGAATATACCACAAATTTGGGTTAGCGTAAATATACTCTTCTTTATTTTGTGTTCATGCAGTTGAAAGACTTTGTAACACTTGAACTTATAAAAGCAGGCATTTGTCATTGCCAGGAAAAAAGGGTAATTTTATTCAGATAGTACAACAGAAACAGAGAAAGGACTTGGTCAGCATGCAAATACAAGGTCTTAATTATCCTCAGGATAGAAAATGTGCTCTGCCAGAGATGGAAAACCTTCTCAAATAAGATGGAAACAACCAACACTGGTGGGATTTTGGTAACAGTATGACTACCCTGGACAAAGTTACAGTGGGAGTGCCAAATCCGGCAGCACCAACACCTGGTCTGCCACATGTGGAAGCCCCTCTTTAGTTTTTCACCTGCTGAGCCCAGAGTAAAATGCTTTTGTGTGCACAAACTACAGGTGAACAGCTAACACCAGTGTGATTTTGGTGGGAGTACGACTACCCTGGACAAAGTTATAGTGGGGGTTCCAAACCAGGCAGCTGCACCACCTGTTCTGCTGAACATGGGCTGTAGAGAACCGTGCAGATCTTCCCTAATGACACCAGGATTAACCTTGGTCCTTGTCTAAAAAAAAGAGAACATTAACAGTGTGAGAGAGGCACAGATACAATAACAATAATACATTTTGTTTGAGGGCACCTTTCAAAATATTCAATGTCACCTTACGATGCACAAATACATAAAATGACATTCTAAAATGCAAGTGAGTAAAGCCAGTTTGAACTAATTATTCGTTAGGCTTGATTTGAAATAACACAGTGTCTGACTATATCATATAATGTGATATCATTACTTGTCATGTTCAGTGGCGCTGCAAGACACTCTGGGGGCCCCAGGCAGAAGAGACATTTCCTTTTTGGTACTTCAAATCAAACTGTGAATCAAATGGTGTTATCAGCACATACTTTATTTGACAGAGTGGACGTTACATTATTTTTTTCACATTTCAAAACCTCATTTTAGAATAACAGTTTAGTAAAGCTGTCTGAAATGCTTAAAAACATAGCGAAAAGAACACAAGAGAATTCGCCCTGAGAAATAATGAAAGATGTATCAAACAAACCTTGCAAACTTAGACCAATCATATACACATATACAATATTAATGACTCTTAATGTTCATAAACTAGACTTCAGATTATTTATCACCATTGATGAACCAAAAAGGAAATGATATCGTTTCCAAACCGTACTATGCCGTACAAATCATTGAAATGTCTGGGAGTTTTCGCTTTAAACTGTGCGCGCATCCGCGTCCATATATCCATATATCTCGGCGGGCATGCATATTTCGGCACAACCATGGATGTATAATAGCAAGCACAACACCGGCAAGCCTTCAGTTTACGGCACAACACCGGTGTTGCGTAAAGTCTAAAGTCTGTTTCCTGTCCATGTGTTTTCCCGCTCACCTGAAGCTGCTCCATCACCGGAGTGAGGCAATAAAGGACATACACGAACTCTGGGTAGGAGGAGAGTAACCGAGACCTCAACATAATCTCAGGTAACTTTATCAACTTTATCTGTAGCCTACTGTCGACATATGCTTAGAATAAAAGCAGAATAAAGTAGTTAATGAAGCAGATACATTAAAGTAAAATTAATTCCAGGTAACATTATCTAACAGACAAAACTACCTTAAGGTTAATTCAGTTGTAATTACCTGACATGCTAATGCTATACAGCAGGCTAACTCATTGCTACTGTTGACACATTAATGTTACTTTTTACACTTTATAACTCTCATTACAGAGAGTTCAACTGTCACTCACAGGTATTAAAGGTTATAGTTGAAACTGCATTGTTGTCTGTGGAGTGTAAATATGATAGCAGTTGGTGTTGAAACAGTTAATCAATTAATTTAATTAATTTTGATCAGGTAAAACATTATTTTGTAGTATCTGAAATGTGAAGATTTGCTGCTTTTTCTGTTTAAACATGTTTGTGTGTTGTGTAAATGCCTTAAACTCGATATTTCATGGACCTAACAATTAATGAAAGGGATTATCTATAGATTGACCGATAAAGAAGATAATAAGTAGCCTTAATTTGTAATTTTGCAGATAAAGACATTTGAGCACAGAGAGATTTTTAAAATAGTTTAAATCAATTTTGCTACAGGTGTTACTGCTCAGTTATGGTTTGATTTGACGCCTAAGTATCTTTGTATCCCTGATTGACAGGTAACCCTCACACACTGTGACTATTACTGGCAGATTTGCTGTGAGTCCACAGACCTCCATCAACCTGCTCATGGATGTGTACGTTGATCTCTGCTGTTCATTTGGGTAAGCTAAAGATTTCCTACCAAAATCAAAAATATGTTGTACTGGATTATAGTATCCAGAATACCATGGTCAATGGAAACAGAAGTTATCAGTTGTGTTATCTTAAACAGCTCAGGAAATTACCATTTAGATATGAATCTCATTCCTCCCGTTTCCTCAGACTTCCTGTGTGGATAGCATCGGTGCTAGACGCTGCCAAACACCTGAGGTCTGACCATGCCCGTCGGAAGAAGGTCTACAGGATTCTGCAGAGGAAACTGGTCAGTGCTCATGTAATAAAATCCCATGTGGAACAACCATTGCTTTTTTCATGCAAGTTTTGGAAACTAAAAAAGACCATTGAGGTAAGGCAAAAACTAAAAAACTTCTCTTAATATCCTTCTCCCTTTTGTTCCAGAGGTTTCAAGGGGTCGGTGTGAAGAACGGGGGTGTGTGGAAGCCCACGTACGTTTACCCCGAAGAGGTCAAAAAGTTGATCCGTTCTGTCTTCTCAGAGGACATCCGGGACTACCCTGACCCCAGGCATGATCAGGTGGGTGTGAGATGCTTTCACAACTAAACAAATAGATTATAGGTAGCTCTGAAATAGTTAAAAAAAACACTGACATTGAAAAAAAAAACTGAAAAAGAGTGTCAATAATTAATATTGAATTCTTATTTTTCAGTTATTGTTCAATTCAGCTCGTGGTCAAAGAGGTAATCCTGTGTAACTGTGTTTGTGTGTGTTTCAGGTGGTGTACCTCACTGTAGAGGATATGCACAAAGTTAATTTAAACTAAAGTCTGTCTATTTAATTGTCTTATCTGTGCTGATGTACAATTTACAATTATAGACCAGCCCCAGTTTTGTTTTGTGTGAAGATTATCTCTGGGAAGGTTTGGTTTATTGTTAGCATGTTTAAAGATGTGTGACTGTGTATACATTATTGGTTGTTCTGCATGTTACAGTATGCAATCATTGTTACGTTTTATCTATTGGCCGTTTCAGGGTTGAATTTTCCGTTTTTCTGAGACTGTGCACTGGCTCTTTATTAATCAACAATGCTGCAAAACTATTTTAATTAAAAAGAGACTTCACATTCTCTATATCATTGTCTTTCTTACAGGCTCTTCACACTAACACATTTCACAGCTCTGTGTTTCAATGTTCTGACTAGATGAGAGTCATGTGTGATAAAAAAGGGAAATTCATGATGAACTTAACTCTTGTTTTGTCTGACCCAGAAATAGAAGTAAGTCGCTTTTGTAGCTTTTTGGGAGTAACGACAAGGGCTTGTTTTTTTTAGCTCACCACACAGTGTTGAATTATGAGCTGTCACTTATTGGTCCACGACTAATGTGCATCATTTGTCTCCATTAAGGTCAATCAAAAGACACATTTATCATTACACAAGAGCAATACATTGGTGTTTAAAAAAAAAAATAATGTAGTTAAGTGGAAAAAAACTGATGACAAAGTGATAGAGCACCTGTGAGATATTAAAACAAAAATCCCAATTAGTACTATTTAAGTTAAACATTTTAATTATTATTTAGCAATTAACCATGCAGTGTGCCAACAAACACAATGAATCATGATCATGGCTTCTTTGGGAAAACTTATCTGAATGTGTTAAAATATTCTACCACCATGTGGCGCTGTAAGCCTGCACACTGTGAAGGCTATAACACAATTACAGCACAGGCAGCAGATATTCAGCGTGGATTTGAAAGGCAGTCATGGGACTTTTAATTTGAAAGAATAAACGCGTTTCCGCTCGAAGTTGCGGCTCAGTTAAATCTTCGACGTGCGCGTGACCAGGTCCGCAGCTAGCATCACCAGAGTGGAGAGGAGACAAGTTGACAGCAGAGCAGAAAGCATGGGAAACTATGTTAAAAGTAGCAGACAGTGCTCCTGGAAAAGTCTGAGGTACTTTTAGGTGGACTGAAAACTTTTCCCGAGCCACATACCACCTCACAGCAGCGGGAAACCATGATGGATAACCAGGGAGGTGACAGAGAGTCTGCCGCGGGGAGCAGTGTGTCAGCCCGGGGAGAGGAGCCCAGCAGCGGGGAGCTTCCTCCGGAACTCACCTGTCCCCCGGAGGACTACCGCATCGCGAAGTTCAGCCTGGCTGCCTACCTGCTCTGCTGGGCCCTGCTCAGGTGGTACCAGGTGAGAATATTCTGATATTTACACCTAACATGTTTGGCTGTTAAATTAGTAAATGTGTCTAGAGGGAGGTGTAAACAAACTCGGGTCCTAACCTGGAGAGATGTACAGAATTGGGTGTCAGTCACCAAATTAAGCTAATAAAACAGAATGCTATCAGTTAAGTAATTATTAATGCTTTTTACATGCTTACTGTTGACTGCAGTAACATTGCAGATATTATTCAGCAGTCTGTTCTCTTCTGTTCCATTTGTGACTATTTGGCACAAACATATCAATTAGTGATCTGGCCAAAGAACATCTGAATACATTCTCTTCACTCTTGCAGTGTCAATTAACCTCCATAATAGAATAAGACAAAAAAATGGAAAAATTACAAGCTGACATAATATCATACTGCCTCAGACATGATTGGTTTCTTTTTTTCTACCTTGGCTACCATGCTGCTAGGGTTAAAAACACAAACACTAGATAGTTATTTCATGCATTGCAGGTTATTATGACTGCATCATCGAGTGCAATGTGTGTTTATTGCAAACCAGGTGCTATTATGTGTAATTTAAGTGAATCCACTGTTCATATTGACGTCATCCAGGAGTCCTGACCTGCAGTTCATGAAGGTTTGTCATGACTAGCTGCACATTGACTTGACAAAACCATTATCTGGCGTAATAAGACCAGGGCGTGTCAGGAGAAGGGTGGACCCTCAAGGCGGAACATCTTCATAGATTTGGCTCATGTTCTTGTAGATGCCTCAGTGGTTCACCCATAAGTCCAAAACCTTGCATCAAGACTGAATCGTCCTTAATAAGAGCCATCAAAACAGTAAATGCATATGTTTGCAATAATCAGCATGCTGTGGTTTCAGATTGGAAGATTGTTGTGTTTACACATGAAATCGTTATAGCTGACAGTTGGACTTTTCAGTGGAGAAACCTGTTTCGAGCCGCTGAGCCATATCCAGACAGTTTAAGAGGCCAGACCGATGTAGTGACTATGACTTTGGTGACTTCTGCACAACATCTGATGTCATGGCTACATGGCTCCTTTATAAATCACAGGAAATTCATGATTGCGAAAGTATCCCTTCTACAATGCACATTTCATTTGGTGTGATAAGTGCCAAACTGCCAATGCAAAACAGCTGCTTCTATTTTAAGAGACCCATTGTAAATTCTGACATCATTCAGGTGTAGATGCACGAAGGCCTGACCCGACCTGCACTTCATCAAGAAGGTTTCTTCATGACTCACTGCACATTGACTTGAGAAACCATTAGCAGGCCTAATCAGAGCGGGGCGTGTCGGGAAGAGGGAGGACCCCCAAGGTGGAACATGTCCATGGACTTCTTGTCTTCTATAGCGCTGACTGCAGGAACAAGCAAAGTCATGTTTTAAACCTGCCCGCAGGCTCTGCTTTTCCCAGCAGCTGCACAAGTAGAGCGACTCACATACAGACAGACAGATCCACCTCTACACACCCAAGAATACCACTTTTCAGATCATTAACATCTGCAGACATGCAGCGTGAACATGTGTCTGGTATATAAGACTGAATGGAAACACTTGATTAGCAGTCGACAAAACTACATCATAAGTTGCCTTTTGCCTGGAATGACCTCAATATTTGCTTGATTTAATCTCAGCGAGTTTTGAAAAGCTTTCACGTTATTCTTAAAATAATCCCAGTAATTGGCCACCAGGAAGGAAGATCATAATAATTTAAACTCCATGCTGACTCATTGATTCTGGTATCAACTGCCTCCTCTCCTTGCTCTGTTTTTGGTTTTTTCTTTTTGTTAAATCATAGCCTTTCGACGTCAGCATGGCTTAATAAGCACCTGCTTATTAGCACAGACGTGATCCAGTAATACTGTGGCATTTGAGCAATTTATTACCCATGACCACCCGCGCTGTAACACATGATATAGTGTTGTGTTCATTTTATTGTGTCAAGTCTTCATGTGGAATTTCTGTCTTCAAAGCACAACAGAGGAACCACATGTGTCAGTGACTGCATCTTTAAGAAGTGCAGGGGTTAACACGCAGTTTGTGAGAACACCAATGAAACGTTTTATGCTCTTTTGCTGCTCTTGAAACTTCAAACTGAGACTCAGAGTCTATGAGAGCTGCTCTGAAAACACCTGGTGACAAAGAGGCCACACAGTGACTTATTGAAAGGAGTTCTCCTGCTGCTCTGAGGATTAAGCCCAACTGTAGGCTTAAAAAGTGTCTCTAAAAGTTGCTTTCTCTAGCAGGAAAGTCATGTAAAGTTGGAGGGTACTTTTGACTGACGTATGTAATCATAACCACCCTAGAGAGGCTGTGTGTATAGCCACTTGCTGACAAAAAACATACCAAGCACATCATGTAAATGGACAGTGCAGAAGCAGAGTAGATGTGGTTTGAGAAGTGGCTGTGAAAGTATGTCACGGTAACTGCTGTGAATCAGAACTGACAGCTCTCCCTATTCAAAACATGAGTATTCCTTTAAAATCCTATAAACGTCTGACAAAAGCCTCACTTGTCTTTGTTTTGTCTCCTCAGAAACTCAGATGCCAGTCTGCCCCTCCACAGGTAGGAACATCCTTCTTGTATCTTGTCTATTTCAGACTAGTTGTTTTGCGGCTTTCCTTTGTTGACAGATTCATCTGACAGATTCATCTGACACAGCACAGACATTAAAAACTGTAGTCTTATGCCTCTGCATGAATATTAAACCTGTGTGAACATAGCCCTGTTGGCAATCATAGAGATCAGTGTTTTTGCTCAAGGCACCAGCCCACTCAAAGCCAACACTTAAAGGCAGGATTCAAAGGGCGAATAAGGTGAACACCATACTACCTGGATACATCCGCCCAATGTAGCTTAATTAAAAAAGATTCAGGGCCTTGACATGAGGTCAGTGAATCATGCCATACAGTAGTGCTGCTCGATAATAATCATAATCTCGATTATTTTGGTCAATAATTGAGATCACGATTATTAAAAACGATTATCCATTTACTTTGAAAACATCAATTTATTTAAAAAAAACAAAACAGTTGATTACCCTGAACTTTAAGTATAATTCAATTGAAAATCCAATAAAAAAAATTATACTTTTTTTTTTCTTTTTAAATAAATAATAATAATAAAAATAAAAATAAATATTTTTATTTCGATTATGTTGTTTTCATAATTGTTGCAAGCCAAAATCGTAATTGCGATTAAAATACGATTAATTGAGCAGCCCTACCATACACTCAATAGACATTTGTGTGGCTGTGTTGGTAACAGAAATACAGAAAAGACTATATTTTTAGACGTCTGTGTTCGCCTAAGTGCTTTTGTAACCTGTTATGTGCCTATTTGTACTTTCATCTATCAGCATCATTGTTTTTGTACTTTACTGTGGTGTACAATCATTTTAAATTCACTTTGACACAGATTTGAGATGAGGTAAATAAAAAAGAACATTGTTTTTTATTAATGCCAGGCATAGGGGACAAATAACCTGGTTATTAAAGTCCAGACGCTGAGACTAAACCATAACATCGATGATTGATCCAGCCTTTGATGCTTTATTGGCGCCTCTGTTCACCCTTTACCTGCTTGAATGTTTTCTGGATCACTGCTAATGCTCTTTTTATATGAGTTTCAAAGGCTCTCATGACCCCAGCTACTGACTGAGTAGTTGAAACCATATGGCAGCGGAGGCGTCTAAAGTTGTTGTGGTGCTTTGTAACTCTTTGGTGTTAGTTATGATACCCTCTGTCAAAAGAGGACATAATTGTTCCGTGCTGTGACTTCAAGGAAAAGCCTCGAAAACCACCTCTTATGTCAGATAAAACGTCTCAACATGTGCGTAAGCCTTTTAAAATCCCCTGTGACGCCTCTCTCTGTTGTTTGGGTACCTCCACGCTGCAGTGTGAGGGAGAGAAATGGAGCTGTGACCCCCGCTTGAACCCAAATATCTCGGCTCATACTGTCAGCGGTGGATTCCCAGAGGAGCGGAGCTTATTGTGTCCATAAACCAAACTCCATTCCCACTTTGAGGACACAGTGTGGGCTAACGCTATCAGGAGGCTCCTCTGTAATTTACAGAAGTATAAGGAGTTAAGTCTGGGTCACTGTGGAGCTCAGAAACCACAGCAGCAATGCATTGTGGGAGCTGTCTTCATCTACTGCTTCAGCTTAACCCAGTCTTTTCCTAAATCACATCTTACGTTTGTTTCATAAATGCTAATACGACCCTAACCCTAACCATAAAATTGCACTTGTTTTTTCAAAATGTGCCTTTGGATAGATTAAGCTAACTTTGCCTAATCTAAAGCCATTCAATGGTCTGATATCACTCAAAATGGTTAGACACTGAAAGCACTGTGTTTTTCTTCTTACACTTTTTTCTTAGGGGACATCAAATATTTTTAAATCCACTCAAATTGTGTCGATTTCCTACAGATATTGTTTCTTTAAAAACAAAAACTGAATAAGTGCTTGCAGTTAAAACAAATGTTTGGTGAGGGAAAAACCACAAGCCTAGCAACAGTGCAAGCTGATCCAGAATCTGCACAGACTGGCCATTTTCTCCTGGTGACTGCATGTCTTCTCCTCAGTGGCACTCATTCACCACGCTGGATAAAGTGCATTTATGTTTGAAGGCATCTCAAAGGGCTTTGGGAATTTAAATCTGCCAGGACGACAGCGGTGCCAAACGCTAACTGCCACCTTCTCTGTGGGGCGTTTAAAGAGTCTGGCATGGAGCAGCGCAGCGGGCCTGTGTGTGTGTGTTTCAGTCCGCTGCAGATTATCAGTGTCAGAGCCAGTGTGCGACTTCACGTGTTTTAAGAGGATCACATTTTTACATCATGCAGCTAGCGGGTGAGCCTAATCTCTTTTTGTTGTGCAAACTATTGTAGCACAATATTGATGATAGCTCTGTGTATTAATGATTTCATTATCAATTAATTGAAATATTGTATCGATTGATATACAGCTTGGCATTATTTGTTCATAATCCCTAGCAAACGTCTACTTTTCGGTAACTTTTGATACCTTACTTCACTATGAATTTCTACCTGCTGCAGATTCCTTTTTCAGTTAAAAAAATAAACTCCACATATTTAGATTTTCAGATGTCTACAGCTCACTCCACCCTGATATTTCCGGAGGCATTTAAAAGTTGTACTGCTCAGCACAGGGATTTTTGTGGCTGACGGGCTAATTTTAGAGCCTGTCAGTTCTGCAGGTAACGTTTCACTGTTCCTGCAGTAAAATAAGTCCTATAATAGATTATTATATTTTCATCGACCACCCCTACAGCAGAATACAGCAGCACAGGCTTCTCTCTGTCTCTCCTGAGTCAATAGCATCTTATAAGAGCACTGAGCCGCTTCCTATATTGTTTTTAACGGTTTTATTTCACCTCAATGAATGTTAAACACCGACTGTGTCAGCTTCCTTTGGTTCCCCAATTTGAGACCTACCCTGATTTATAAAGAATTCAAGAATGTTTAGTTGGTTGGAACAACGTCGTTAGAGAAGACACTTAAAGTAGTACAGACTAAACGTTATTATACGTGGGGGAAATTAGTCTTAGGCACAGTGTTACTGTTTGTCGCCTTACATTGAAAACACCACAAATATAACATTAAAACATCTTATACAAGACATTTGATTTTACAACACATTTCATTAGCTGACGCTTCTATCCAATGCGACTCACAATAACTGCAATAAACCATAATACAAACTCTTATATCTGATATTTTTGCATCAAATAAGCCAAACCATTATCCTTTTTAAATGTAATGGCCAAGGTACAAGAAAAACAGATGGATTTTCAGTTTGCGACAAAGATTTGTAGACCTGCTGTCCTGATATCAATGGGACGCTCATTCCACCATTTTGTAGCCAGGATAGCAAACATGTGTGTTTTTATTGAGGGGTACCTGGGTCCAACTCGCAGTGAGGGAGCAGCAAACCGATTGGCTGATGCAGAGCGAATTGACAACTGAATTTTGTGAAATGCTTCTGTACAAAATGCACATCCCTTTGTTGCACTAAGATATAGCATTAGTGTCATAGGCTTGATGGAGGTTCGAACAAACGATATCTTCCAGTGGTTTGATCTGCACTTTTATCCTGATGGCAGAGGTTCGTATTCAGAGACGAGAGAAAGTCCAAAGTCTGGAATATTTTCTGTTCCTTGTTTCTTGACTGTCTGCTCGTACCGGCTCTCTATGGGCTTGTAGTCTTTATTTCCTATTACCTTCAAAGCTGTTTTGTGCATATCGGCAGGTCTGCTTTCCAATGAATTCTGTAAATTCTTTATCTGATGATGCTCTGAAGGCTTGCCTGGCAGAACATCAGCATGATCTGGCTGCTCACTCCATACAACCTCAGAAAGTAAAGTCCCTGCTGTAGTCTCTTTCAAAGTGTGTGTGTGTGTGTGTGTGTGTGTGTGTGTGTGTGTGTGTGTGTGTGTGTGTGTGTGTGTGTGTGTGTGTGTGTGTGTGTGTGTGTGTGTGTGTGTGTGTGTGTGTGTGTGTGTGTGTGTGTGTGTGTGTGTGTGTGTGTGTGTGTGTGTGTGTGTGTGTGTGTGTGTGTGTGTGTGTGTGTGTGTGTGTGTGTGTGTGTGTGTGTGTGTGTGTGTGTGTGTGTGTGTGTGTGTGTGTGTGTGTGTGTGTGTGTGTGTGTGTGTGTGTGTGTGTGTGTGTGTGTGTGTGTGTGTGTGTGTGTGTGTGTGTGTGTGTGTGTGTGTGTGTGTAAGGAACACCGACTCAGGGTCATCTCCTGTGTGAGCTATGTTTGTTAACAAAATCTTTATGGTGCTATGATATTGATTTCAGAAGTTGTATATGAACATATTTCTATAATGAATGCTAAAATGTGTAACTCGTTGCGTTAGGAATAAAACAGAACATGTCTAGAATAAACATCCCACTGCACAGGGTTGAATCAGCAGTTGCTTGTCTACAAAGGAGGGATTATAAAGTGCTACCCAGAAACAGCACTTTACAAACAGCTTGTGTTTTGCTGGACAGCCTCTCCTCCCTACGGCCCTCCCCCCCCCCCCACCCCTCTCCTCTTTCTCATGGGCTTCTTTTATTTTGTCGGGCTCCATAAATCCTGCGGCGGAGAGACAGACAGTTTCGGGTTTCCCTGAGTCTCCAACTGGAGCCTCCTCAGGATGTTTCTGCAGCTCCGCCATGGCCCAGGTGAGACTTTCTCTCAGTGTGAACGTGAGAAAATGCGAGAGGCGGCAGGCAGGGCGGGGGGGGTAGAAGAGGAGTTCGGCTCCACAGAGTCTTTTTATGTGACAACAGTAGGAGATTGTTACGTAACCACCTCCCTCATTAGTTCCACTGTGTTTGAGCTGTGTTGTCTTTGTTCGACCGGAACTCCACTAAGCAGATTCTCTGATGGCTGGCAAGTTATAAAAACAAAACACATGTTCTGCTGCAGGAGCACGGGGAGGCTCTGAACATGCACTGGGTTGCTTGGCATTTTGAGCATCAAGGAATTAGGCCAAAAGCCCTTTCTACAGCTGCACTCTTTGTTAACCACAATAGATTAGGGTCAGGTTTGAGGTG